CCCAGATAGGATTTTGTTTGCTGGTCATAATTTTTTATTACTTAACGAAGATTTTTTAAAATAAAATGTTGAGACTGAATTGGACATTGCATTCTTCGACCACTATGAGGTAATTATTTTTTCAATATCCTACATTAACAAAATTACCAAATAAAAGCAAATAATAGGCTGCTTAATTTCATTAAAAGTTTTCCCCTTAATTTTCTAGGAAAAATAAAATTTTTCTTGAATAAATTTAAATTTTTATGTACATTTCAAACGCCACCGAGACTTGCTTGCACCCCTACTTGTTGAACGACATTTGTAAATGAAAGACGAAGAGCTTAACCATTTTTATTATAGCTACTTTTAAATTATTATGAAAGTTTTACATTGTACAGCAGCATCCACTCGAAATACTAAATTAATTCTATGAATGTTTAATGCAGTCTCATTTGGATAGTGGATATACGAGCATCGCGTTACAGTCATATTTGCTAATTTTGAAAAGAGTAGCGACTTGGGGACCACTGAGGTGCATAATGAATTGCATAGACTCAAAGGGAAAATGAGAGATCCAGTCAGTTTTGGCGCTTTGTGAAAATGATGCCTGGTATTCGTTCGTTTAATGGAATTTTCTCGTATAGTGTTTCCAGTACGCTAGATAAAATATATGTTTCACAAGAAAAAAGCAAAAGATCCAGCATAATACTCATATTGTACCACTCTCTCCAACTCCGAATACTTTTGTCAGCAATAAATATCACCATAAGATCTTATCCGTTCGTTGTGGACCCAATATTCTCTTGTTCATCTTCGTAAGAATAGTAGGATGCCTGCTTACTTAATCCAATAGTGATTGGATGCGACCCTAGTGATTAGGGTTTATGTCTTTGCCAATCTATAAAACATTTCTTACCCTAATATTATTATCTTTACTGATTTATTAATAGAACTATTATTATTCTCTTGCAGAACTAATAAAATAGGAGAGCTTTTAATCCAAGGCATAAACAAGATAGTCCCTCACAAAAAACACTTTCCTAAGTGAAAAGCACGATCATTTTTTATGTTTATAGGGATGCCACTAGAGGCCTTTATAGTTCCGTCAAGCCTTTTATTTTACATGTCTTTGGGGTGACATTTAATAGGGCGATAGTTTTAACGTATTATTTAGTGTGGGACAACCGCTAAAGAGAACTCTGTTTGGTGATTTACAAAACACAAAATGAACTAAAATAAGGCTGCGGTTTCAATTAAAAAGCAAATAAAGAGGCTACGTATGTGCAGGTATAGAAGTCATACAGATATGTGAAATAGGTAGGTATGCTAACGAAAAAGTGTATGAAAGTGCTTTAAATCTGGATTCTGATTTGTAACGTAAAATTATGAGGAAGACCCCTTAGGAAAACCCCTAAGAATAGGGTACCAAAGAGTAGCTATACTATAGGACTGTAATCTGCTAATAAATTGTTCAGACCATAATTGTAATTCCTAAAGCTTGCTAATATTTTTTTCATAATGTTGTCTCATTCATTTAAATTAATTTAGGTTGTATCACTCCTTCAATTATGAAATAGAAATTGTTAATAACTAATAAACTAATAACAGTTCTTAAGCTACGTTATGTAATACGTTGTATAACAAGTTCTCGTAGTTTCAAGAGCTGTTACTCACAACCGAAACTATCTTTGCACATACTGTCGCTGCCGTGTTCGTCTCAAAAATACTATCTATCACGCATCCCTCGGGCACTATAAATATTTCAGGAATAAAAAGTTGCTTATGGCACTCTGGAATAGCGCTGCTTTTCATCAGTAAAAGAATTTTTGAATCATTCGTAGCTCTATTCTATTATTCTGTCTTTTAGATACGAAACAGTAGATAAGAAACCTTAATTTTACCTATTAAATTATGATTTTTATATACAAGCTTCTATATATTTTATACAAGCGCCTACTAAAACATTTGGCAGAATAAAAAAGATTTTCCTCAAATTATGTTCTGTTCATGTAACTTTACTTAGAAACATGTTCGAGGGAAAATACGAGCTTATCGGCATCGAGCTTTCTTGAAAAAGGCTCCCGATTGCGGCGCCTAATACGACAGTGGAATGTTTGGCGCGCAGAACAAATCCAAATATTATTGGGTTAGCTCGTTCGAGCACCCGCAGACCGCACGAGTCAGGATTAATGGTCCATACATTCTATGTAAATTGGGAGTCCTGCACTGCGACGTTTATAGGCTGACGAGCCATATCGATTCACCACCATGAGGTTTTTGACTCGGTAATAAAACGAGAACAGCTTGCACTCTGTGCATTAAGATACTGCCGTACACATCGGGTTCTTGTCACAGTTGAAGTGGTCTACCGTTATTGATTTTGGCACAGATTATAAGCCGAGTTCTACGAAGACAGTAGCTTTTTATTAAAGGCAGTTTAAACAATTTTACGATCAAAATCTAGTCATAATTAAATTAATTGGGTAAAACTGTAATTCCACAGTGAATTATATAAATAAATAAATAAATAATTAAAGTTAAAAGATTTCTAAGAAAGAGTATCAAATAATGAAAAATTGATCTTGTTTACTTGTCCCAGGAACATGAAACGTAATTTGGTGAGAATAATTATGGGCAAACAGTTTTACATAAAATCTTATTTAAAACAAATGTTTTCGTCCTTTCCCGGAAAAATATATTTGCTTTTCTGTCTATGAACTTCAAATACGCGCTTGGCCACGACCACAAAGGCTGTCCCGTTGTTCCGCGCGGTTGTTTTTCTGAGTGTCACATCAAATCGCTCTTGTTTTGTTTGCGCTCGACAAATGGTCGCAGATTGCGGTTACGTACTAGTACTTATCCAGTATAGCGAGTATGCCAACTTATGTTATTAGGTAAAACTATTGAGATCAGCCTTATGTACCGAATTACGCTTCACACGCACGCTTCTTATTAATAACAATATTGGAAAATAATCAGTTGAAGAGGACTCTTAAAATTGGTCGAACCGTCTATGGAAGTAGATCTCTGAGACAAAGATACTTTTGTGTGATTTCCTTACAATTCGCAATTAACAGCTCTCAGAATTTAACGGTTCCTTAAATATTTTACTTGTGACCCATCATCAGCTTTTCACAAGAGACAAGTTGATTTCAATATATCGGAGTCGTTTTATTTTCTTGTAAATAATTTCTTTGCGGGTCAGACAGTTTAGCTCTCCTTTGGGATTACCCAACCTTCACTGTTTTAATGGCGGTCAAGCTTAACATTGATTCGATGTCAGCAAGATTTATGGTACTTCAGTATAGTTGAGTGATAATGGATAACAAGTTAGTCATTTTCTTAAAAATAAGTCGATCCCGTTATAATAAATTACTCTAGATATGTATTCTGTTTATACTTTGAAATCGTTGGTATCCTATTAATACAGTGTGAGTCACGTTAAAGTGTACATATGAAAATAGATGAAACTAGACCTATTTTTATCGACAAAAAAGAGGTCAAAAATTTTTTGAGATTTTTTTTTTAATTTTTTATAGATTTTTTTTCTTCCAATTACTTATTGTAAAGAAAACGTAATAACTTTTAAACTAAGCGGTATATCTTGATAAAATAAAAACAATAATAATGCTAAATAACAGGCAATACTAAAAAAATACATAAAATACACAAAAAAGGCCAACAAATAATAAAAAAAATACTTTTTGAAAAAAATCCGCTTAAAAATTCGTGTTTTTTTGGTTATTTAATAAATATCTCCAAAATATGCCCCTATAACCGGTAGTTTTTATTACTTTGTATTATTCTCTATCGTATTACCTTCGTAAAACGAAAAATCGCATGTCTCTATCCCTATCACAACGTTTGCAATGATCGTTTGAACTAAGCCTCTCCGGGCGCGCCATTCAACGCTTCGTTAACAATAAAACTGAAAATGGCTCTAGATTTGTAATTTTGATAAAGACAAGTTAGATTTCAAATAAAAACAAAAGATTTCGAAGTAAAATAAGCATTTTAGTAAAAATTAAAATTGTCTCTACCCGTAGCGGAGAATAATGTTGTGGCAGGCCTTAGTTCAAACGATCATAGCAAATGTTGTGATAGGGATAGAGACATGCGATTTTTGGTTTTACAAAGATAATACGATAGAAAATAATACAAAGTAATAAAAACCACCGGTTATAGGGGCATATTTTGGAGAAATTTATAAAATAACCAAAAAAACACGAATTTTTAAGCAGATTTTTTTCAAAAAGTATCATTTTTTATTATTTGTTGGCATTTTTGTGTATTTTATGTATTTTTTTAGTATCGCCTGTTATTTAGCATTATTACTGTTTTTATTTTATCAGTATATACCGCTTAGTTTAAAAGTTATTACGTTTTCTTTACAATAAGTAATTTGAAGAAAAAAAAATCTATAAAAAATTAAAAAAAAATCTCAAAAATTTTTTGACCTCTTTTTTGTCAATAAAAATAGGTCTAGTTTCATCTATTTTCATATGTACACTTTAACGTGACTCACACTGTATAAGACTCTACTCATGATACATAGTGCATTCTTCAAATATAAGACAAATCCAATGAGATTCTTTGTCATTATTTTTACTACGTATTTGTATTAGTGTGCTGTTCTAAAGAGTTTAAAAGTATTGTACAGTCAACAGCACATCAGCCGAACACATTTTGTTGCAAAATAACACTTAATAAATCGGAATAAGATGTGCTGTGCTGTGGTCTGTACAAGATTTTAAATATTGTTTTAAACTCATTAGATTTGTCTTATATTTGGGGAATGTACTATTGTACTTACTATGTATCATGTATCATCTAAGAGTAGAATCTTATTTTAAAAGGATGCCAACGATTTCAAAGTCATCCTGTAGAAACACATTGTATGGAACCCAATGGAATCATGTAATAATTTTTAATTTTCACTACTGTCAGCGTGTCGTGTCAGGTTAATCCACATCTACCTGCATGTCACCGTAATCCTATAATACTCTGTGTATTCGCAGGTCGCGGTAGGCGGTACGACGAGAGTGGCGTGTCGCGGCATGTGGCGCCGATGACGCGGCGCGCGCCGCGCGACATGCCCTGCTGACATGGCTCGCAGCCGCTCCGCCCTCCTTTCGTTGGCAGCTCTCGCAGCACTCGCCGGTAATCCACTTCCACTTTTTTAGTGTAGGCTGTAACCAGTAGTATGCTAAAAGTTCTTATCATCATCCTCATCATCATCTTCATCATCATCATCAGGTCATTAGTCTCCCCTAGAAGGTGATCCTCTTTAATTTGTCAGAAAAAATGTAGGTATGGCCTACACTCCCTACTCTGGCCAGACGGGTGGGGAAGCCGAATGTTGGCAAATTTCTTCCTTAGACCATTCAAACACATCTCCTTCCCTGTACGTGCCCTTCGATGGAAAGGCCATCGAAGGGCACATTATTTGGAGGTGATTCTGTTCTACCTACTCTGCCAGAACCACACACCAGCACCTTACTTGTATAACTACGTTGTTCACATTCCGAAACATTGATACGCTTTAAATACACGTTGTCTGTGGTATCATCAGGCTCAAAGCGACGCATGATAGCGTTGATTCGCACAGTGATTAGGCTCTGCGGATATGCCTGCACAGTTGCTCTGCTCGTTTTCATTGCCTATGTATACCTACGTAAAACCTAATAGTCTAGTTAGAAACGCATAAACGGTCTTAACGAGCCTGCCTACTGCTAATATGGCATGACGTGCTCGGGTTTGTAACTATTTATTTATAATGCCGTATTAATCAATCATAGCTCACGGTTCATTAGCAACTAACACGAGTCAATAAACTGATAATTGTTATCAAATTAAATTACCTTAAGGTATCCACGTGTTACCTGATAGCTTTTCATCCGGAAAACCGCGTTTATTAATGTCACTGACTTTAGTAGGTAAAAATGTTTAAATTAATATGCTTTAAAACTCTAGCATCGATCGTGGCAAGAGGGATCGATTCTTGCACAAAAACATTTATGCTGAATATACCTATCTGCTGTTTTCACATAATTCATATGTTTTTTGGAATTAACTAATAATATTATGCCCATAGTAACAACTTTTGATTAGTATAGGACTAGATAATACACTAAACTGCCAAGAATATTTCTTTTAACTCTATCAGAGTGCAACTATCTAGCACAAACAACCCGTTCAGAAATAACGGAAACACTTTTACAATGCAATAAACGGGGAAACATTCAATCTAATTCCGGACAGAGCTGTCTCAGATGTCAGTCCCTGTTTCCGTACATTTTGCAGGCCCGTTAATTCGGGAAGGGAGGGCTCAGATAACATTATGCCCTCATCACACATGTCGTATGCACTTTACACGTTCGTGACGGAGATTTTTGAATACAGAATTAAAAGCAATTTTTTTACCGACTTCAAAAAAGGAGGAGGTTATATGTTCGGCCCAATGTATGTTTTTTTTTTCGTTTACCATTTCAGGGGTAACAACTTCCAAAGGATATTCGGAAACCGTAAAGGTTTAGGTTTTCACTACCAAATGAACCATTGTTTGTTTCTTTTGTGGAATTGATTGGGAAACAAATATTTGTGTTCTTGGTCAGTGTATTCCGTATCAAATAAATTGTAGAAAAAGCGAACTGTGTGTCTCTTAAATAAGTTTGTTATAGTTTATAATGTACGATTGACAATACATTACTCATTAAATTTTTTTTTTAAATAACTAAATAGGCATACCTACTCACTTTTTTTTAATTGCTTTTTTACTTATCAATTTATCATAAACGCCTCTCAAAGTATAAAAATAAGTTCTTAACCTTACTTAAGTGAAGATATCAGGTGGATGACGACTATAAAGGTAATTGAAATGTAAACAAAAAGGTTGCTGTGGTGTAGATCAATTTACCTGTCTAATGTTACCCATATAAATTCAACCGCAATTTAGATACAATCTGCTCTGTTTATTTATTACAGGAGACCCTAACTATTTATTAGAAACTGACTAAAAATGTTGCATTTAAAGTAAAAGCTTGCGAATTTACATTCATGTTTATAAACTCATTTTATTAGGCTATACAAAAAGAGCAGACAGTTCAACAGTGTTGCTGTGGTTCTATTCTGAGCATTATTTATTTAACTTTGCGCTGGTCTGCATAACTAAAATTAGTATTTTATTGGATTCGTGTTTGAGTGCAAATAGGAACACGAGAGCAGTGTATTTCTGTCAGTATGAGAGACGCGCATTGTTTGTTGAATATGTATGTCTACGTATGTAGATGTTTCGGAATGAAAACAATGAATGAATAGGTGCCAGTCAAAGCATTCTCTATCGGAAGAGGCGAACCTTGAAAGCCCCTGTCGCCCGCTGTGTTCTTTCACCTTTCCTTTGTGTTGCTAATTCTATGGTATTGGAAAAATATCGAAAGAAATCTCTTACCTGCCTTTTGTTTATCATAAGATCTTTTTGTTCTTTTATTAATAAAGAAACCATGTTGCCGATTGATGTCATGCTTATACATATTTATGACATTACTCGTATCATGTTTCGAGTCCGTATATTGTACCATAAACACATACTTTCATACCAACTATGCTTTGATACGCTACGATTTTCGTAGTAATAATATTGTAACGCAGTGTCGTAGCAAGCTGTGCACTTACTACGTGCTGACGCAGAGTGTGCTACGGCGCTACGGTGCTACGATGCTACGGCGTAGTGCTTACCATTATTATTATCATAATTATCCTGCTTTCGCCTCCGAGATTTATTTTACCATGTAGTACCCCTGTACGACAAGCCAATCCGCACACAATATTCAGCGCAGTAGTAGTAAAAAACAAAAGAGCGGGCAACCCCACCCCTACCACGCTGTGGGCTCGGTGTCCGAGCGGTCTCATTCCTTTGTGCGCACGCGCAACGACCGCACGCAGTATAAGAAAAATGCTTAAGTGACGTCACCAGGACGTTTTTACCGACAAAAAACGTAATTATTTTAAGTTGTGCAGTGTAGTGACGAGAATTAGACCCAACATTGAATGATCAAACGAACTTACCAAGTGAAGTTCGATCTAAATTATCCTGTTTTCGCCGAAGAGATTTAAGGTCCCTCCCAACCCGAAGATTTCTATATCTTCTTCCCTGGAGGTAAACGTCAATGTCATCTCTTCTCTAAATATAATGAGACCGCTCGGACACCGAGCCCACAGCGTGGTAGGGGTGGGGTTGCCCGCTCTTTTGTTTTTTACTACTACTGCGCTGAATATTGTGTGCGGATTGGCTTGTCGTACAGGGGTACTACATGGTAACTTAAATCTCTTCGGCGAAAACAGGATAATTTAGATCGAACTTCACTTGGTAAGTTCGTTTGATCATTCAATAATAAATAACGTTCTAGACAGCTTGGTCTGCAGTGGGGCCTTTGCGTTCAATATTGGCTTCCAATAATTGACCTTATTGTTTTGTACATTAACTAGGACATAAGGCAATAACTGCGAGAATACCGACTTTATAGCTTTCCGTAACGGTGTAATGTTAGTTTTATGACCCACCTTCTACTTTTCTGAGAAATTTCTGATTACTGTGTGAATTTCCCGATCCGAGTATTTCAAAGAGATTTGTAAACCTCCAGATTAATGTTTCGGGCGGGCTGAAAAGTTAATCGCAATGAAAATAAATGAGGCCATTTCTGTAAACATTCAGATAGGTACAAAATATTCATCTGAAATTAAGCAGATGTTTCGTTAAACTCTATTGCAGGTTTATACTCTTCACTCTGAGTTGGTCCCAGCATGTCAGGGAAGTCAGTAGGAAGGTGATCGGCTCAATGCGGGCACTCTACCGCTTTAAAAATTTCCTCCCTTCCAGCACTAAGATCTTACTTGCTCAGTCTCTGATCCTGCCTATCCTCGACTATGGTGATGTATGCTGTACGGACATCTCACAGGAACTTTTAAACAAGCTGGACCGCCTTTTGAACAACTGCATCAGATTTATCTTCGGTCTCCGCAAGTTTGACCACATCTCACCTTTTCGCTCGCAGCTTGGTTGGCTTCCCATCAGACAGCGTAGATATCTTCGTTCACTTTGTATGCTTCATTCAATTCTTTTCAATCCCGACTCTCCATCTTATTTAAAAGATAAATTTCAGTACCTCCACTCCACTCACAATAGAAATCTTCGCTCTAGTCAGTCTCTTCAGCTTGCCACCCCTCATCATAGCACTGGCTTCATGTCCAACTCTTTCTTAGTCTCCGCTGTACGGCTCTGGAACGGCCTTCCGGCCAAATTACGCAAACCTTCTTCCAAATTTACTTTCAAAAAGGCTTTGCGCAAACATTTCAAGGAATGACCTTTTTTTCTCCATTTTCTCGCTATCTCAGACATGAGTGATGTGTACATCTATATTATTATTATGTTTATGTATTTATGTGTATGTCTATTATATTTATTTGTATTATGTTATTTATTTTATGTAATCTTATGTAAGTAGGTTTATTATCAAAAAATGTAAATTTTTTGCACCGCCTTACTCTTTCTGCATGACCCGTGGTTGACTGGCAGAGAATGCCATCCGGCATTAAGTCCGCCACAGTGCATTTGTTACTTTGTGTGCTGAAGTATAAATAAATAAATAAAATAAATATATTTTTATTATGATGCATCATCACGATTTGGTCGACTTGACAAATAAATATCTCGAGTTTTATTGTATAAAACTTAGTTATATCAACCTAAACAATCCAACGAAATAATTCCACGAAAAACCAACTTCTGTTCTACGAAATGGTACCAGTGCGTTGTTGATTAAAGTACAACATAAGTTGTTTATTTTTAATGATGTTTGCAATACACAGGGTGTTGTGTGTGCGCGCCGCAAGGCAGTGTGCAGGGCGGCGTGCAGGGCGGCGCACAGGTGCCCCCAGGCGTGCCGCACACCACCGCGCCCCCTACCGGCGTCGGCGGCGTCCGAAGGTACGACAATGGGGATGTTGCCTGGGTCAAAAAGCAAGAGTTTTAATTAGTCCGTCAGTTAACTTATCAAAAAATACTCTACACGTATTTTTCACTTTTTCAAACTAATGAAAATTTAAAGAGATAAAGCGCCCCAAAGTTCATAAGAAGAGGCCCGTGACGTCAACGCTTGCTTAAAAATGCCGCACGTTGTGACGTCGTGCGCAACTTCAACGCACCATAACTATGTAATTATTTGTTAGATTGACAAATAAAAATATACATGTCCAATATTTTTTGATATTAAACATTACGGTCTAAAAAAATTTTTTTAGGCAACTAGCCTCACTTTTCACACTATGTACTTGTGCCTACATCGATCGAAAACCACATATTCCGAAGCACAAAGATGTTGAGAAATGACAACAGTTAACCAAGAAAAACCGTGATTCTATTAAATTATCTTCCAAACTCTTTTCAAATTATTATTGTCGTTGGTTTGTTAATTAACTTTAATAATATGTTGTGTCATTTTATTTACACTTAACGACTTTGATGCTTGGTAACTAATCTCCCATTCTGTTTTTATCCATTTACAGTCTAGGAAACCCATTTTATACCCACATCCTTTTTCCTATACAGCACACCTCGCTCTCTGCCAAAGTATAATATAAATGACTGTTTTTGTTGATCAATCTTAATAAATTATTCTAACTGTTGTCCCTTCACAACATCTTCATTTCAATTGAATGCATCATAAGCAAAAATACTACTCACAATCACGACGCATAAATTATGTCTGGAAAACTTCGCGGGGTCTTTCGGAGAAAAACACGCATAAAAATTTTTGGGGCTACGCAAGATAGTTGTAAACACATTCACAAAATAAAGGGTCATTGTATTATATAGTTTATAGGTCAAACTTCGATTCAGAATTAAGAGATTGTATGCGAAGATTGAAGGACGTTTTTATAGTTCCGATGTCAACATTATATCGCAGAAGCCAAGTATCATAATAATAAGAAAGAAGCAGTAACTAAATTGATTTGAATGAATAATAATAATATTCCATTCATCGCTATTGGATTATCTAAGTACTTATACACTTATACCGTATCAATTTACGAGTAGGTATAATATGGCCGTAATTCAGACTGAGTAATCCTATGGTATTGCCAAATAGACTGTATCGACGGTCGATATGGATTTCTTGGATTTAAGTACAAATGTTAGGTAACTTTACTACGCCAACGCTCCTCAATCTCGGGTCGCCATGTACATATATGTGTTGGATTCATTGGATATCCAACACAATCGGATCGCTCCCAGTTTGCTATTTACACCAGAATGGAATACGTCTACAGTGCTGTGAGTATGAATTTAGATTATTCTTAGTTTATATGATAAGTTACTAATCTAAAAATACAATAACAATAAAACACATTATAAAAATTACAATAAAACTTATTAATAAAAGCTATCATTTTCTTTAAAGCAACGCGATTGATTTGACATTATTGGGACCAATAAATAGATACACAATTTTGAATAAATTTTATCCTTTGTTGCACGTTATGTATGATCTCCGAGAGTCGAGCGTCAATAGTTACCGAAAGGTTTTATAACAAATGGGTACAATCAACTTTACTGATGACTGCCGCAGGCTTAAAAAGTTTCAATGCTGCCGAAATACGGCGATTATTTTATTCCAACCGATATTATCTGATATAAAATTTATAAAGGACCGAGTCATCAAATTTTTTAATTAATCCACAGTATTTACAACTCACTAACGTAGTTATTTGTTGAACATTGTCACTGTTGGCTTGTGTATTATGATATTACACTGTGGAAATGAAGTAATCCAGGCTTGCAATGTTGTCAAAGGTTCGCTTAGATAATTTCACTGGCGCACACTCACATTGTGTTACGTAAGCCGACACATCGCAAACGAAATAATCTGCGTGTCACGTGGTATAGAGCCGTTATCGGAGTTTCATTACGGAATGCCTGAAGCACAGCACTGCAGCGTTAGATAGTCGAGTCTCCACTTCGTTAGGTAGCCACTACGAAATTGCTCTGCCCTATTAATCACCGCTACATTCAAGAACAGATTCAATTACAGTGTAATCTGATCTTTATTAATAAGAACCTGACTATGACGTCGTTACATGGGGGAAGTGAGGCATTTTTCATCTTTTTATACAGTGACTAATTAAAATTCTTGGAAAGCAACTATCAATCATTAAGTGGACAAAGTAGTCTCTTCCCTGTAACTATGTGAAAAAAACAGTCAAATAAGTTTCAATTGGGTCATACGAAGAGGTATTGAAGATTTTCAGAAAAAGAAATGGAAATGCCTCTATTGTACATATGAGAACTAATAAGACAATGGGCAGAGAGTTCACATATTGCACAGGTGTGTTTAACCGCACACGATCTCCAGTACTGTGTATCTGCTTATATTTTACCAGATATGTATATTACGCAGCAAAGGCAAGCCACTGTTAGGTACTTAACAGTTTGTTAATATTGTTAATATGCTAAGCACATTTTGGTTTAAATTCAATATCAAAATCAGGTCAAATAGACTAACAGTGTTAAGACTTAAAGGGACAGGATATTTGCGCAAAATACACTTGAATTCAACCCTTTTTGCCTACACTTGTATGAAAACATTAATGTAATGCTCAAAACACGTTTATGTAACGGTGAAAAAGAAATATAGAGTTATCTAACAATAGTAATTGAACAAATAATAATAAGTTGTGTAAATAAAATGTCAATTTCAATTTTGGTTTTATATTTCACAGAAATGTTTTCACTCAAATGTACGTGAGCGCTAGTGTTGTTCGCGCAATTATCCTTTCACGCGAGTTTAGCAGATCCGAGCGGAGCCGGTGTTAGAACACACAGATCAAGCTCCAATTCCATTGCTCCAATGCCGATCACTCATAGAATCGAGGTTGCGTAACATGCTTCCGCACGCCTCACAGCGGTTATCTACCCCAGTTTTTCAGTTCCCACAATCTGTTTGGTCCCATTACTTACTAATTGACTATTTTTAAATGTTCTTTTACGTGTTAAATATACATGAAGCCAGCTTATATTTAATATTTTATTATCCGCAACGAAATGGCTGCGACGAGACAATGTAAGTAATTTATTGCCTAGAGGAATATTAAAGATTTTTTTATCATAGGAGCCAAAAGCAGAAATAAATTCCCATAAAGCATCGATTATTACCGATGGTTGAAATGTTTTATAGTTTCGCTGCATGAAAACAGACATTACTTGTGATTATTTGCACGTTTCAATCACCAGTAAATAGTAGTTTGTACATAGGATTTTTCAGGTTATGTGACCTAAAAAAAATAGGTACAAATTGTTATTTTACAAAGGCAGTTACTACTTGCTAAAATTTGTATATAGGAGTTTTGATAAGCCCTTTTCATAGCTCAATTTTTAAATCATTAAACATTTTCCAATTAAATAATTTTAGACCGCTAGGTGTTTATTCTAATATTCTTATAAAATATTTGATATAATAATAACTTAACTTTTAAAATTATTATTAATTATTAAGATCTCAATCAAGAATAGTGCGAAATTGAATTGTTTTGTTCAACGCATTTCACAAGATAATGTTCCTTTAGAATGGCCACAACCACCTGTAAATCCGAATTTTGTATCGTTCCTAACAGCATTGATAATTGTACGGTTTGATTGAATTTGCTTTAGAATATTTCCATTTGTCACGGTAGTTACAACTGCATTCGCATGAACACTTATTTAGGCATCTGCACGAGTCGCAATAAATATCCTAATGGCGGATAATGGTAACAATTCAATTTCGCTTTTTTGCTACTATCAGTATTGAGGTCCTATTTATGTGGACAGTAAGCTTCGGCATAGAAGATTTTGGCTTCACGCCAGGTTTGTGATCAAAGCACCTTCAGCAATTCTGCTGTGTTATAACGTGCTATGGTGTAATTTTTTTCTCCAGTAGAGATAGCAGCGTTTAAAGTAGTCAGATAAATTGGGGCTATGGCTAGCTTAAAGATAGCGGTTGGTCCTGAGAGGCCTAGTTTGAAACAATTCGTTTGCACACAGATTCAGTCAGTATTCCAGAGGGCGCGGCTACCGAGACTGGCGCACCCGCGGGGATCCGACGCTTATCAATTCACTCTGGCGCAGCCGGCAGCCTCTCGGCATTCGCAAACAGCTTGGTGAGAACAATAGTATCCGTTTCTAGTTTCCACAATACAATAAATCCCGAGCGGCCAAATCCTGTTGAAATTCTCTTCTGATACATTTACGACTGAATCTGAACTGGTCGTCTCTGAAGTTTGTTGGTCACGGTCCTGCTTTGGAACAAACAGAAAATATGGCTCATTTTTCTTGGAGAACCTTCAGTATGAGAATGTCTCTCTCGACTATGACATGTGCGTGTACGCAGGAAACGCCGAGGTGTACATAGTACTGGCGCTGCTGATCGGTTTCGTGACGGTGGTGGTGGGGTGCTGGCTGTCGGACAACTGCTGGTCGCCGGAGCCGGAGGACGCGCTGGCGGGCGGGTGACCCGTGGCGGCGGGCGCGTGCACGCACGTGTAGCGCCCGCCGCCCGCGGAGGACAGCCCGCGCGAGGGCTCGCTGTCGCCCGTGCTGCCCGCGCCGCCCGCGCGCGCGCGCCCCGCGCTGCTGCACGCCGCCACGCACCTCTGCCGCGGCGCCTGCCTCCGCCTCCCCTGCGAGACGCGACAACCGGTTTTTTGACCCGAACTCTCGCAGGGATCCTGTCGCCTGCATGAAAAGACTAACGGAAACCACATTCCGACTATCGCCAACGGTGACGTGTGTGATAACGACTTCAATGTCGTCATTTGAAAAATTTTTGACCTCGACTTTGTGTATGTGGAAAGTGTTCCCAAAAGTGAAAACAGTGATACGGTGCAGGTAATCATTTTAATGAACTGTAAGAGCTTTGACTAAAATTTTATGTATTCACTATGATAGTGTATGTTATTTAACATTATAACTGTATTAAAGGTACTACGTGATGTATCGCCGATCGAGCGCTCGGGATTAGAACCTAGAAGACTCACTGTACTTATCGGATCTCTCATCGTAGGACGCTTCTAGCGGTCTAATTTGGATTCACTGATGTAACCTTACCTGACGTGGTGCAGCTACGTTTCTCTTTGTACCACTTTACTATTATTTCTAAAAGTATGTGCCTTGAAACGCTTTCCTCGACTTGACTCGTAGTTTAGAGCGTGTTTTGAACCATTTAGAAGAAATTTCTTCTCTCTGTCTGTATGGACAAGTAATCCCATAAGTGCAATACACATCATGACCGTGCCTTTACCGTTCTATAGACTTTGAGAGGGACGTAATTAACAATAGGTTTTAAAATACGCTTTCCTCGAAGGAGGGTCACCTACCAACGATTCTTTTGTATTTTTGTAAAAAGTCCAGCTTCTTTTTTTATGTTTTATATTAATTAAGACGCAGTTAATAGTAATAGAGGAAAGTGAGTTAGGACCAAAGTCTTTCACTAAAAGTGCGTCAATTGGATTAAACTTACTTGAAATTACCATCACAATAGGATAAGATTCGACTTGAAAGACAACGACATGAGTACATTATCTACTGTAAATGTAGATTTTCGATACATCTTTTTTGGCAATTTTGTATACATTATTGTAAATTTATTATTGAAAACATACTTACATTGATACTTAACATCTATCCATCTAACATTTTTAGTGATTCCTTTATAAAAAAATGTCCATTCAAAGCAAAATTCTCTCCATATTAAACCACCCGCAAAATACTTACATACAACGATTTCAACATACCACCCAACAAGTAAAGTCTAGAAAATGACATATAAATGGATAGGTACAACTTATTTCTATTTTGTAAATCTTTTAGCCACTTTAGATCCTATGTTTTATTTGATCTTGTAAATGTTTCTATGTAGCTCAATTTATTTTTGTCATAAATAAAATTATATTATAACATCTTCTTTAATTAAGGGCTTCACGATTAAATCCTTGGTTTGATAAACTATGCCTAGTTAATTACCACGTAAGAAAATACAATAGATAGTTTGTACATTTTGATAAAATGAAATAAGGAAGACGCGTAGAATATTAGTGTATTAGAAATTCTGCAGCGACCGATAGTTAGAAAGCTTTACATTTTAAATTAACTGCGGTTATCGTAAGCTTTAAACCTACGTAGGTGAACCGTTGAATGCCTACCGAAGCGCACTAATACTTTTTTTTTGTAAAATAATTACGACAATCTTAGAGTAAGAAATATTCCGACTACGACTTTTCAATTACGTGAATTCATAAGAATTAGTGTGTAACTTAATGTGGATGTACGGATATGATATTTAAATGTCGTCTGATAATAGCTAGTCTTCATAATCTTCAAGTGCCATATCCTTTGAATCAAAGGGCATATCTTAAAGACCAGCTTTGACTGGCCTAAGTTAGAAGTATAACAACTTACTTCTGACTTTCGCCAGGCGCTGAGCTGCGGTTGCCTAGATCTAGATTATCTTCACGGTTAAAAAGATATTATGTATTAGTACGATTTTTCCGACAAACATTTTTCGTACATAGACGAGTATAATATTTTTTGTGATATTTTAATTTTTATTCACTTCATTATTTTTATTTAATCATGCAGGGTGTAAAGGAGACAGGTTAAACAAGTATCATTATAGGTACGTCCTTTTAAAAGTTAGAAACATGATGAGAGGAGTCATTCAATAGTTTTTGCCAACACTGAAACCTGTCTCTTACACCCTGTCATGTGCAGGCTACTCATACCTACATATTTCCATTTACAATTATTTTACACTATTATGATCTATATTGTTTTGTAGTATTAAACTAACTTAGTTGTAAATAGTTAGGTCGCGTTGCACATTCAAAGCAACACGCAACAAAGTTGATATTATAAAACATTGTAATAAACTGTGCCAAAATGAATGCCATGAAAATATAACTTTTCATCGTTGTGCCACACTTTTATGTTGATAGTAGAGCATAGTTGTCACTTTCACACGGGCTCTCATTTGTATAGGTCTAAGCGAAACAGGTGTATTGTATTAGTGGATGAGAGACCTACCATAGACATGTACAGTACACATTTATAGGTGTGTATGCGATACGTTAAATTATGTCAAATCGGTATAATACTCGTTGTAACGTTAAGGAACCCGACTGAATAGTCAAATATTTTAAGCATTGTATAAATTGTCGGTAGTGAGTAGTTTGTCGTAGGTAAACATTTTACTCGAATATCTGGTCAGGGGAAAGAGAACAGAGTAATCCTTTTGACGTTCCAGGTTTGTAAATTTTTCAAATAAGTGTTTTAAAACGTACTTATTTATTGAGTTCACGGACGGCTCTTAGAATAGGTGATTCTTTATTCCACATATTTTGATTAAAATTCAAGCATGTATAATCTTTCTTGTGTATACATAAGTACTTTGATACATTGTAATTTGTTCGGTGTAATTAATTTTAAACAACAAAGGGACCGCCAGTGTCAGGGCCAAGCCAACGAGCGCGCCTTATTAACGGTGGGTCAAAATAAATATTCGAAGGGCGAGTAACGATTTTTTAATTCAGTTACCCACTGGATAACAATTTATAAGCTTCTTGCGTATTAAAATATTGTGGTTTACATTTCGCTACATAAGATATTTTAACCATTTAATCGCAAATATAATTGTTTAAACTGGTCCAACATTGAAGCTGTAGTTGAGTAAGTGTATTTATTGACTAATTAAACAAAATAGTTACCAGTAGGCACTCGGAGCCGCCCTGCTTCTGTTGCTATGTAACAACCTACCACACGTTAGAGTTGATTGTTACAATAATTAATTATTCAACGTGTTTGAAAATTAAACTTACATCGTTAACGACACTCCACAACCAACAAAATCTATAATCAAACGCTGTATTGTATTGTTGTTAATGTGATTGGTTATTTACATTTTATTCAAGTAATCGCGGTATTATAGTTACCGATTTATGTGAAAATTGTAAATATTTGGCGAATCACTTGCGGTTGTTTGTTCACTTTATGGAGTGTGATTGGCTTGGCTGATTTAGGAATTGAGAGAACTCATAAGCTCAAAATACTTAGCGATTACATAAGTATACATTATTATATGTCATTATTTGTCACGAATAAATTCAAATAAATGTAATAATAAAATCTCCCTCGTTTAATTTATGTCCGCCTCTTTTATTAGCATTAGCCGTTATAAAGTTTAAGTTACTACATATTACACTAACACTAACTAGTGTAGTTATAGGAAATGGACCTATTATACTTGCAGCAGATGTGAACCATTAGTTTACGTAGCCAGCATGGGCCACCATTAAAATAATATCGTCACTGCATACGTACCTAAATAGAACTGAAAATGACCACGTACTAAGTCAGAACAATTAAACATGACGCATATTATTGCGCTGTATTTATTAAGTAATCACAGGCCATCACAGATTCTCAGTCTGAAAATTTGTTTATACCCAAATACATAAAATAGGCGTCTACAAAAATTGGTTGTTTATAGGCCCCTCGCCGTAACCGCAATTTCACGGGTGTCAATTTCAATAGTTACTTAGAAAATGGATATCAAGATGGAAGCGGCCGCAAAAGGGTGTTTTAGCGAGCAAACTGTTTCCATAGAAAATATAGGGCATGACGCTCTTCGCTCCGCTAGCCTGACACAAAAAGGCTTTCTCGCTCTGGTCCCGCTCGCACATGCCTATACTACGCTCATCTACGTTATTAAAAGAACTCTCTGGCTTGTAGACCAATCGACTCGAGACTCTTGTTTAGATGGCTGCCGTGAGACACTTCCTGTGCCCGACCATTGTCTCGAGACGCCTTCCCTTTATTACAAATGTCGTGCGGACATTAGCATTCATTGCCTTTTCTTAGGTTCTTTAGTTTTTGTCGCCAGCGCCAAGATTACTTTTCCTGTTCAACCGACAATTCTTCGTTCTATATAAGTAAGTTATTTTGAGATTTCCAAGCTAAGGGCACAAATGAAGTAATTACAAGCTTTCAATCTTCGAGAATATTAGAAAAGTTAAGCATCCTATTAAGCTTAATAAAACAGTGTCAGTAATTCATAAACAAATACTCACTTTAATAACATAAACTGGATGACGGTTATAGAAGTAAGTTGTAACACAATTATAAAGTTTTACCAAAAGCTTTCCAGTTTCCTCATCTCTCTTCTTGCAATCTTGAAATGAACAAAATATAAAAATAGGTATACTGATGAGAATATTATTAAAGTAACAGTCACTTCTCACTTAAAAATAGAACATATCGACTGCCGATTATATAACACCATGGCAATCGTAACACCATGGCAATCGTAAAAAAACTAAGAAAGGAGCGATCTACGAGTAGATATTTGGCATGCATTTGATCGCCCTTTTATTTATCGTAACATCCATCACCTCACGTCAGCTTGCTGATATATGGATTGTCCATATGTTACCCGAACGTGAACTACATGCATGCAAATA